ATTGTTTACTGCAATTTTCCCACTTTCTTATTATCATTGCTTATTTTTTGTCATGATTATGACTTAGTGTAACATTCAATTTAAATCGTAGAAATTTACAACGGAAGATCAACAACAACAACAATCATTTATAGACCGATTGTACCTTTCGGTGTGTGGTCTTTTACGTAACGACTAGCCTCAAATTCCTCTAACAAGCCAGGTCTTGAGTTTCTCTACACCAATCATACCCTCCAACATCCAAATCACATTTAACCGGTCTTCCCCTATTTCTCGGTCCATCTGAATCAGCATACAAAACCTTCTTTGGCAAACGAGACTCATTCATACGTTGGACATGACCAAACCATCTCAATCTCGACTTTCTTGCTACAACGGAAGATCTATGACCAATAATTGCACAAAATATACACTTTCATCTTCGTTGAAAGAACGCGTGCGCAAAAGTGAGATAGATCTAACAGTGGATCAAACGCCAAATAGAAGCATAATGTATAAATCCGTTTACATTATGACCACATTTTTTACAAAATGGAATACATCTTCATCCCATTGAGAAAGAGATTAAATTTTATAAAATTTGTCATATATCATTGAAATTGCTTCATGACACATTCAATGAAAAAGAATGTGAAATATTCGTGTGTGGCACTTTTGTTTGAAATTTTAACGGTGCTTTTCGTGGGGCAAAATTGATATCCGCTGAATAGTCGAAAATGTGATTGAAATGCAAACCATGCATGTAGCATACAAACACCAATACGTTTCTTCCTCGTGAAATACATGAATGCAAAACGATTGCATGAAAATGATTGAGTGATAAAAATGCAGATTTGGTTTAGCGCTACGAGAAATGGCATTTGTCATTCATGTAATACGAGATCACGACTAGAGAAATATTTTGCTGTGAATACTTGCGTCTGGTATGTGAATAGATGAAAAAATAAAAATTGATCATGTTCGTAAGTTTGCTTGCGCATTCACTTTGATGCCAAATGGCAGCATAACATTTAGTGGTTGTGAGTTGTAACATCAATTTATGTATACGGTACATACTGCCTTTTGGTATTTCTTTATTTTCCACTCACACGAACAAAAGATTCAATGCACTCTATGACGCGTTCCAATGATGTAATTGAATGGTTTTGAATGCGATTTGGAAAGAGTTTAACGGCATCATTCCAACCTACGATTATTGAATAAGATATACGATAAAGAAAAAAGATGGAAATAAACGGTGAAAACAAATTAATCCATTGAGGAATTCTGGATTATGTGCAGCACACTTTCATGGTTACAACAATACATGCGATGCAATCGAATGCCGAAAACCTGAATGTAAAAACGAAATCAAGAATATTAGCCATCGTCCAACAAATCAATCATCAAGTATTTTAATCGAAAGACACCTTCAATTCTATCGAGCATGCGTGTTTCAAGACGCACCGGCCATCATGTACGCAACCAATCAGCGCAACTAAAATATGGAAATGAGATGGTTTGATCAAGTTCCATTCTTACATTGGTTGTCATCTAAAACAAGTCTTTCTGCATTGACGGTAATTTTTGTATTAGGTCTTTTCTGTTTCTTAAAAAACCACCACGATGACATCATAATCAACAAACAAACGAGTATTATTTTATGATTAATGACTATTTACTTTAGATATTTATGTAATCGTGTAAACATGGAACACACATTACAGCAGTGTCATTGCTACCTGCACACGGTAATTTTTTTCATAAACACAACATGGACAAAGTTGATCGCAAGAGCAAACATCATGATTTGACGTAGGTATACGACAACAAAACTCACACAGACAATTCTCAACAATGTTTTTATTAAAGAAATGAGGGAAAAGTCTTTCCAATCCCGTTGAAATTAATTTTTTCAAACACGAAATCCATCTTAAGATGTTTTTTAATTGAATTGGATGACGCACGTCACTTTAAACTTATTTTAACTTTTTCAGTTGATCAATTTTGTTTTGATCATGTTTTATGATGACTCTCGATTGAGTTTAAATTGTGTTTAAATTGTGGTCAGTCAGATAAAGTAAAGTATTTCATTTCAATTAAAAAATAGTAATATCGATACAAGCCAAAAGCATATACAGACCCTCATTTTATTTCTAAAGGCTAAAATTATCGATTCATTTAAATACGATGCAACGAATATATTACTTATTTAAAAAAAAAATACTGTACATCGACCCACAAACCAAACCAAACCAAACAAATTAAAAGTTCAATAAAATAATCGTAAATTTAACGTCTTAATTACAAGCACTGGTGCGGCGCAAATAAATAAATCGCATTGCCACAAAAGTACGTTTTTTTTCTTCTTCAATTAGAATAAATTGAATGGGAAATGACCTTGAAATCAATGTAAAAAATATATATATGAATGAACTAAAAGGTACATCATTATCATTTCATACACTTAAATTGTCTTCAAACAAATACCATGCATTGAACAAGAAGAACATATAAATATTCCAATAAAATCGAATATATTGGCGAATTCCAATTTTTTGCAATGCTAAAACAGTACAGTTTATCTGTTTATGGTTGATCGTTTTGTTTTTCATCTTTTATTTCAAGGTTGATATTATGCATGCGGAATATTTTTATTTCCAGCTGATGTCGACTGTGCATATATATAGAAGATTATTGTCATTACATGGTTATAAGTACACGGGAATAAAGCGATCTGTGCGACGACGCGACTTCTTGAAATTACATTTTTCCTACGTATTTATTGCTAAACGGTTATTCAAATGTGCAAGAAACCATTTAATTTTGTGAAATAACAACCTTTTATATTGTAATTTCGGTCTGTGGTGAAGAGCGTGTTTCCTTTGCAATTGAATCAGAAGATGTTATTTTTTCTTTTATCGTCAAGAAAGAACTCACGGTGCACTTTTTTCTCTCTTACAGCGTCGGGTTCAATTCGATGATACAATAGCAAGATATTCGTATAAATGAATAGACATGGTGATCTACCACACATTAATGATAGAGTTGGTGTTCATTGTTCCGTTACTATATGTTTGTAAGCATACCCGAAGGTGCTTACAATGTATTAGTTTTTTATGCTCACTTTTTTTTATCTCGCTGTAAGTAAAAAGTCTATGATTCTCGTTTACTGCTCTTTGTGTTTGTGCGCGCGCAGGGTATTTGTACCATCGAGTGGCATTTGATATTAAACAAAACAACAACAACGAAAACAAGTATTAAAAAAGCACTGTATGCAGGAAACCGTAGCCATTTTTCACCTAAAATGGAAACACTCATACATAGTAGAGCCGAATGAATCAATTTACCATTTTGGAATTGATCTGGTTCTTCATTTTTTTTTTTTTAATGGAAATCAACTTCACCAAAAATTGAATACCAATAAAATATGGTTTTATAGCCTGTCATCACAATTTCTGTGTGCTTTCTATTTCGAGTGCTAATGTTAAAAGTGGCTTGCTTTGATTCCGCTTTCAGTCCGCCCTAATGGCCTCGCCACTTAAGGCAACGAATGAGGCCCAATCGTACAGAACACATTCGCGAAAATTTCTTTGCTCTAGTGTACGGAAAGTGCATTTCATAAACTTGAAGGAATTGTATATTTCTTTTATTTGATGCATGTAATATGTTTTTTTTCCTCAGTCATGTTTGAAAAGTTCATTCGCATTTCATATTATAAAATCGATATAGACGCTGAATATCATATAGATATATCTTGCTCCAGGTGCTGTAGTTCCGTATGTAAAATGCATTGCAGTTTCGAGTGGTAGAGCTTGTGCGAACCGCTAGAATACTTAACATTATAGTTTTATATTGATGATGTTATAAAAATGTGCTCCGGCACGTCGACGCACGCAATTGAACATATTTGAAGTTTTATACAACAATCGAGACGAAGGGCTGAGTTGAAAAGTTCATGCTAATATATTCCGATGGAAGTGGTTCACATGAGAAAAAAGGCATTGTGAATTTAAAGTACACTAAGAAGGAGCATCATCCCAAGATTGGTTCATAGATAGTTTCACAAAGTCAAAGTCAACGGAGTCATTACAATACGGATCAAAGAACTTTGGATTGGATGTATACAATGCAACGAACTCGATATTTCAAAAAACACACACACAACGAGAATATTTTTTTTTTTACTTTCATCAACATTCGAACACATACTAATGTACACATATATTCCCTGTTGTGATCGTGTGTGCACCAATTTCGCTTCGATTTTAATGCCAGCGGAAAATTTCACTTGTCGATTTACATACAAAGTATGAAATGTCGTATTTTTCCGTCAACAAAATACGAATGAACAAATGAAAAGTATGTATCAAGTAACTTGCTGTTCGGATGGAATTCAAGAAAGCGACATGAGTGCTCATTGTTTCCGTTTCTTGGTTGGACAACTTAAATGGGAAGAGACATGATAAATAAAAACGCAACGATACTGCCATTTCTTATAATCACCTGACAACAGCACATTACTGAAGAAAAATGCAGCGTTTTTTTGTGAATTGCCGGTTCTTTACAGCAATACGAAAGTGCACATGAACTTATAATCGAAGCGGTTCACCCATTTCTTGTCGTTATTATTTTTTTTTTTTGCTTTGTTCGTGGCTGTTGAACAACATATTTATGGTTTCATTATTATAAGAAATTCTTCACAACCAAATGACCGATCGGTAGGCCACTTTTTATGTCGAAGAAAAAACTTAAGCTGAGGTGAAATGGTTATTTTCACACTACTGGACAGGTTTATGTGTGTATGTCTGCATATGTCAACTATACAATTTGCTTATGCCTGTATTATGATGAGAAAACAATGCGATTATTTGATCATTTACATTGAAAGTTGCTTTTGTGGAAAATGACTGTCGCAAGAAAAAAAAAACTTTTCATTGACGTCAAGAGAGATAATTTAATAAAAAAATTATTGTTAAAAATATAATAAAATTTATAAAATTCTCATTCTCTCTTTACAGGGTCTTCCCAGTTGTCCCGTCAATTTAGAAGCGCTCCGATCACATTTACCATATTTGGGTTATTGTCTGAATTTTTCGGATGATAAAAACGACCAACGTTCTGATGACGACAATAACACAAATAACAACAATATAATTAGTGATTTATATGGCAATCAGAAGGATCAGTTTGCGCCAAATTTAACGCCATTACATCGTTTCTATCGAGAACAACAACAACGTAAAAAGATGCCGGGATTTAGAGGCCGTCGCGGTCTGTGCGGTTGCTTTCAGGTACGAAATATCGAATAAAAGATTTTCGCAACATTAATTGAATACAAATATTAACTCAACTGATTGGGCTATTAAGCATAAGAAACTCAATGACAAAAGTACTTAATTCATTTTCGTCAAACAATATTTCATGAAATCCATAATTTTTCATGGTTCATAACTGATTGGTTAAAATTCAATTGCTCAAATCGCATTTAAACTCAGCCGCTGGAATTGAGCACAAGTGATATGTCGGAAGAACGAAATTCATTTATCATACCTCCTCTATTTATATGGAACAAATATGTCCATTCAATATATCAACAGTGGCACGAACATGTTTTACATTATTCCGCGGAATCGTATAGTACGGAAATTTATGCGTGTCTCTGAAAATAGTTTGATCGCTTGTCGATTGCAAAAAAACAACTACTCGACTCGCTCGAAGCGAAAATTTACTTTGCCACATTTCAATATCTCATCGATATATATATATAATATAATATAATAATTGCAATTCATGCTGCGTATTAATTGCAATGGAACTGGTTGTTTTTGTTTGTCTGTCGCTGTATGCCATCGAGTGAAAGTAATTTCGTTTTGTGAGTGTGCTTTCAAAAAATACAAAAAACCAGATTGTGATATGTATCCGATATGGTTCTGTACTTTTTCCGTTGGACGAGAGAGTATATCGCGTGGCTGCTGAGATGCGATACATAAATCGAGAGCAAAACATCCAGACACGCACATACAAATTATGCAAAACTTAATAAACATCATTTTTCTTCATCGCATTTCGAATACAAATAAATAATATCTAGTGATTTTCCTTACCGGCCGCAAACCACTTTTGGTCGAACAGGTTATTTGAAAAGTGAAACAAAAAGTTATTCAGGCACGGTACAGAAAATCGCCGATTGAAAACTTATATATGTCGAATAAATGTCAGCATTTACGGATTTTGTAACAGTGCATCAAGCGCATAGTTTTCCATCATTTACAAAAATGGCCTTAAGATATATTGAATGCTGCTGCCCTGTAACTCCACATTCAAATGGTGTTAGAAAAGATTAAATTGTAATAAATTTGCCGATAGAATATATATGAAGTAAAAACAATTACACGGTAAGCATTCAAAGTGCGACAAATGGACTTCAATTTACGATGAAGGTTGATACCGTTTTATGAAATAACTTACGCCCAAACACACGTCAAATTATTATTATAGCCAATAACCATAAAAGTTAAAACTCAATGATTTTTACACTTAATTTGTTTAAATCATTGATTTTATTATCTGTAATAAAAAAGAAACCGATTATGGATCGAAATCTATATATCTCTTAAATGGAAGAATAGAATGCCGGATTTGACAGCACATCACGATGTTTTTGACTTCTAAATTTTCACTTCAGTTTTAATGTCTATGACATGACCATTGGTGAAATATTTATTTCGAACATTTATTACTTTACTAAAAACTTTCTATTGCAGAAAAACCACCTACAAGTCCACATGCCAGCAGCTACAACAACTTTTCCTTTCATTTATATTTATATACAATATGTGTATAAATGTTGTCATCGCATGGCGCAAGCAATAAAAGAAATCCAATAATAAAATTCAAATAAAAATTTCATAAGGCATAATTGATATGCCAAATATAAATTCAGAATTTTCACCGGATTTCTATGAACCAAAAGCATATATGAAAAAAAATCGAAAAAGAAAATGTCTTAGCATTGACTTTATTGTGCAACGTGAAGTGACACGTTTAGAGTTATAACGATCAATTCAGACAAGCTATAAATGCCATTGAATAAATGAAAAAAGTGCCAGGAAACAATAACTATAATATCAAACTTAATGCTTAATGCAAAATGCATAGGCAAATCAAAGTGTCCATCCAATCGGTATTTTAGCGTAGTGCTTGAACATATCGAAACGAATATGCCGGGAGTTTTACGCATTGAAAAAATGGTTGCATTTATACCATAAATAAGAAAAGCTGCATAAAAATCGGATCTGCGCGTAAAACATGAGGCGCCAATGAAATAATATGCATAACAAACACTTGCAGTTGGTGGTTTTTTGCAATGCAATCGAACAAAAACAAACTCTCATTACACTCTCACTGAATCACACAAATAAAAAAAAACAGTATCGCTTTATCTCATTTTGTGTGGTATCAACTAGTGCCTACGCGCTCTCGAGCAATATTATCTTTTCGACTAAAAGTCGTGCATTTAATTTTCCGTATAGAAGATTAAAAAAACGACGATGACAACAACGACAAAACAACAACACGGCACTCTAATCAGCGGCAAAGCAAAACGTACATTTACCAAAAGCAAATTACTATATATGCAAAATGATAAACGGTAAATATGGGCACGAGAAACAGGAATCTATATCGCCTATCATTTGTGAAAACAAGAGTAAAAGCGGTAGATATTCACAATGAAATCTCTACTGGGAATGGCTACTTCTACGAAATTGGCACATTGTACGAACCAAAGTATATACATTGAGCAATGCACCGCTACATGAAAACATAAAATTTATTGTCAAACTAACGAAATGTGTTTTATTCAATTTTCACTTTTCTTCGGCGACGTGTATCGTTCGACAGACAAATTGCTACGATGAACGAACATTATATTCCTTTTATTATCAAATTATACATTGGAAAAATGTATTCAATACATTTTCACTCTATCGCAAGCATGATGTTTCAAACATCTTATTAAAAGAATAACTAGTTACTATCGAAAACATTCGCATACGTTAATTGCCAGCAAACGCGATGAATTATTGGTGTTGTTTCAATTTTAACCAAAATATTCAATACAATGCCACAAATTTTCACCAGCCAGTCCAAAGTTGTGTGTAATTAACATACATTGAACCTGTTCGTAATTCATATGAATCGGCCACTTCCTTACTTGTTTACAGTGCGCATAACTGACACCCTTCGAATATGGTTTCTGTTGAACAGTTATATTTAGCAAACAACGTCCTCGAATGTCGAAAATATATCGTTATAGATTTTCTTTTCATAAAGATCGCATTGATTTGGCGATAATATAAATTACGGTATATTGACCTTTAAATTTCTGCTGATATATACATATATTTAATATATTCATGTTTTTCTTCTTAGAATTATTTGTCATTGTGTTAACATGAGTTCTGTTCCGTTCGTACAACGTACAGCGTACACACTATAATAATTTATTTAACGATATTTTGCCAGTTGGTGTGACTCAAAATCAAAAATTATGGCAAATATCTTTAAGTATAAAGATGTCATAAAGAACACTCTTGTGCCACACAACGCTGCTGTGCAACAATACAAAGGCCTCATGATCAAATATGATCCAAAAACTGAATTTATATCGCAATGATGTTATTATCATGACATAAACGATCTGAATTTTTTTGGCTTTTGAGCTGCGCTTAAGTCAAGAGATATGCCATAATGCTACGCTAAATACCGTAAAATATGACCAAAATCCATGTTTATATTTCGCACGCTGAAATCCCATTCAGCCCATTGTATGCGTACATTTGTCGGAAGTTTTGTATTTGATAATGATTCTCATTACTGTTTTTTCCCCGAAGCTGACAAAATATTTATTCCATTGAACGATTATATTCTTTTTGACTTTCGATTTTCTTTTGTGCCAAAAGCCGAATGTTAAATCACCGTTTTTACCGTAAAACTATTCATTGTCATAAAGTAATAATGTGATTGCATTAAAAAAAATCATTTTTTGGCTAATGATTCGTCGAAATGATCGAAAAAATTGGTATTGTTTAATGCTATCTTTAAGCAGAAATGGATTCGTTTGTTGGTCAATGCGTAAACCTTTCACATTTAAAAGTTTTTTTACTACCACACCAATCACCAGCATTAAATCTCGGTTCAACAAATCCAAAATTCGAAGTTTAACAAATTGCTCACCAAAATCTGCGCATCGACAAAACAAAATTGGTCATATAGTATATCTAACGAAAGTTTTACCATTCTGCAAATGGATTGCCATTGTTTGAAGACAATGATCTTATAAATTACACGCATATTTATGATAATGGCATACTCATTTACCAAATTCAAAAATCTCATGCTGTGAGATTCTAATCAAGACTTGAACAGGTATAACAACAATATTTGTAGAAAGTGGCATCTTAAATATCAAATTTATTAGTTATTACTGGCTACTGAACATCCATAACAATAAGAAAACTCATTATTGGATCAACCAACCGAATTATTTCGATCGAAACAAGTTATTAACACATTTCCATTTTAATTACACTCACAATACATGAAAATCAATCATTTAGAATGTTTGCGAATAACAGTCATCAATAAACTGTTGAACTCTTGTAAATGAAAACAATTAATTTAATTAGACTTGATAAAATTCACTTTCTTCTAAGAAAGATGTCTTTATCGGTTAACCGGTCTTTATCTTACTTTTTTTCTATTTTTCATTTCGTTACAATGCTGCAAAATAGATGTTCTTCTTCTTGTTCTCGGGTCTATTTAAATCTGGTTTGGAATGAATCAAAAGTCAATTGTTTTTTTCAAGAACCCATAAATGTAAACACAATCTACTTTATTTTTTTAATATTAACTTTACTTTGTATCACAATGTTATTATTATTACATCATAGGAATAAATTTCTTTCAAAATGGCATGAAATTGATATAAAATTCAACTAAATTGTTCAAGATATTCCAGTGTTAATAAATTAGATTTAAAATCTAGTTAAAAAAAGTTATCATAAATTTTATCGAAGGTGTACTATGACATAATATCGCTAAAAACTGTAAGAAAGATGAATAAAAATGTGTTGGGATTTTTATGAATCTCATAAAGACGGTAAAAAAATTTCAGTTATTGATTCGTGTCGAATCGTGCTGGATATTTCTCTTTCGATATGAGACAATTACGTACGAGTTACGTTAAGTTAGTTGAAGGAGCAACACTATTAATACATTGCATGTGACAGTTCGATCACTTGATATTTTTTTCCTCTTTCCATTAAGTGGTCGTCACTGTAAAAGAGAAAATTGCAGCATACAGTCATACTTAAATTGTTCAAAATATCATCTGGTTGATCATAACTGTTTGTCACCTGAATATTATGCAAGCAAATCAGTTGTTTTGTTTTTAATTAGAAATCGATTCGTTATTCCAACCAATCGACTGTTGATTATGAAATTAGAAAATACCTGAAATCTGACTTGATGAAAATACTTCTGTTTATATCATTTCATCATTTTAATTTTTCATTCATAGGATGATGAACCGCCTGAAATTTGTGTGGTTGAAGGTGCGTTTACATTACAAACGCTTACACCGACTCAGCCAATGCCATCGATCGAAGAGCTTGACGCCAAGTTTGCAGAACTCGTAGAGGAATTGGATTTGACCGCACCAAATAAAGCGGCAATGCTTAGTTTGCCGCCACAAAAGAAATGGCAAATTTATTGTTCACGAAAAAGTCCCATTGACAGCACTGACGGTACGGAGGTTTCGCGGACTTCACCGCCCACTCCAGAGCATTACATTGAACGATTGAAGGATATTGCAAAAGTAAAATAAATTGTTTTTTTTTTTTTTTTTAAATAATTGCAAAATAAAACTTAATTAAATAAATCTTCATTTAAACAGCAATTCCAATCACGACCGGATGAATCTCCATGCCATGAATATAATTTTAAAATTGAATCACATACAGCATTCTTGGATGCACTAAAAACAGCATTACGTACATCAGCGCATAGTTTTGTATTACGCTTCGTGGAATTGAATGGTTTGTCTGCGTTGTTGGACATTTTACGACTACTTGATATCCGCGTTGCAAACAGTCCGATGCACAGCAGCTTGATCCAATGCTTAAAGGCATTGATGAATAACTCTGTATGTAAATCTATTTATTCCTTCTATGCTATGAACACCCTTTTATTGATGATATTTTTTTTAAAAAAAAACTTGTTATCAGACTGGTCGGGCACATGTCCTATCGCATCCGACAAGCATCAATATTATTGCACAATCATTGGCCGCTGAGAATATAAAAACGAAAATTGCCGCACTGGAAATATTGGGAGCGGTGTGTTTGGTGCCCGGCGGACACAAAAAGGTTTTAATGGCGATGTTACACTTTCAACAGTATGCCGCCGAACGAACACGTTTCCAAAGTATTATCAACGATTTGGATCGATCGACTGGCGCCTATCGTGACGATGTTAACCTTAAAACAGCAATCATGTCATTTATCAATGCTGTTTTAAATTATGGTCCAGGACAAGAGAATTTGGAATTTCGTTTGCATTTGCGTTATGAATTTTTAATGTTGGGCTTACAACCAGTTATTGACAAATTACGACAACATGAAAATGAAACATTAGATCGGCATTTGGTATGTAAACGTGCATCCTATTGTTTTACTTGAATTGCAGTATACTTAATTCACTTTTATCTCTGTAGGATTTCTTTGAAATGGTTCGAAATGAAGACGAAAAGGAACTTGCACGCAAATTCAATTCGGAACATGTTGACACGAAAAGTGCTGAAAAGATGTTTGATCTATTGCGTCGCAAATTGAGTCATTCGTCAGCTTATGCACATTTGTTGTCGTTGCTACAACACATGCTACTGCTTCCATGTATGTTTACATCGAATGTCTGCTTATTGAATTAGGATCAACAATTTAACGAATTAACTTTTATTTAACCACTTACAGTCACGGGATCCAATACACAACATTGGTTGATATTCGATCGTGTGGTACAGCAAATTATTTTGCAAAATAATGAACGACCCACCAGTGATATTATCGATCCGGACAATGTATCGATGGAGAAAACAATCCAAGATCCTGACCACAGTATCATTGAGATTGATGTGAAAAAAATCGTTCAATTGCTAGTCAAAGAAGAAGAATTGGTTGCTGCACGCACCAAAGCCGACGAATTGGAAAAGGAAAATTTGGATATGCAATCAAAATTGGCCAAAAAGGAACAAGAGTTTGACTTGCGTATGCAGGAGAAAGAAGATTTAGAGACTAGTCTAGCACGAATGCGTGAACGATTGGAAAAGGTATAATATTAAGATATAATCAAGTTTAGCTGATATATATATTTAATTATTGCTCTGTCTTATTGTTACAAGGAAAGTGCAAATCATTCGCAAACAGTGCAACGTGCATTAAATGCTGAAATGAAAATCGAAGATTTACAGCATAAATTTTCACAAGAACAACACGAGCGAATTCGATTGGAACGATTGGTATCTGAAGGCAGTATACCAGACGACCAAAAGATTTCAGGCTTAAGTGGAACCACAAATGGTTTGACACCAGCAACACCATCACCAAAATCATCAATGCCTAGTCCAGTTCCACCGCCACCACCCCCACCATTGGGTAAGAATCTACGTTTACTTTGTCCTTAAAAAAACATGTGTATTTATCGATTTTATTATAGTTATGCCACCACCACCTCCACCAGTACCGAAAGCTCCAGCGATGCCAGGTAAAGTCGTAAAGTCAAAATTATTAACATTTAGTTACATTTGAAGTATCACCAAAATGTTTATTGTTTATAGCTGCTCCAGCACTCGCCCGAACTGAATCAATCAAAAAGAATGTGCCACAGCCAAGCAATCCCCTCAAATCGTTTAACTGGTCGAAATTGCCGGATGCCAAGGTTCAAGGGACTATTTGGAGTGAATTGGACGATAGCAAATTGTATACAAACATTGAACTCGAAAATATTGACAAACTTTTCTGTGCTTACCAAAAGAATGGCGTACCAGTGAGTGTTTGATTTTTAAATATATGTTTTTTATAAAACAATCAAACATACGTGTATTAATTTTATAGAACGATGGATCAGTGGAAGATTTACGTTTGATGGGTAAGGGACGCGCTAAGATCTTATCGGTTATTGATGGTCGCCGTGCACAAAATTGCACAATTCTATTGAGTAAATTGAAAATGTCGGACGAAGAAATTTCGAAGTATGTAACATTCATGAAAATCAATAAAAAAACAATTTATTTATTTTTTGTATTAATTTTTGTGTTGTTTTACAGAGCAATTCTCTCAATGGATACAAATGAACAATTGCCAATTGATATGGTTGAACAATTGTTGAAGTTCACACCATCGACCGAAGAACGGGCTCTATTAGGTATAAAAATGTCATACACCACAAAAAATAATAAATATTTATTCAATTCTTTTCATTCTCCCCCAATAGATGAACATTCAGAAGATATCGATTCATTGGCTCGTGCCGATCGATTCCTTTACGAAATTTCAAAGTAAGATAATATTATATTTTAACAATTTGAAAAGGTAAACAATCTTTTTTTTTTAATCAATTCTTAGGATAACACATTACGAGCAACGATTACGTAGTCTTCATTACAAAAAGCGATTTATGATTGCCGTAAATGATTTAAAGCCACGAATTCAAAGTGTAATGGAGGCATCAAGAGAAGTGGCCCGCTCGAGACGCTTGCGTCGTCTGCTCGAAGTGGTGTTGGCCCTTGGCAATTACATGAATCGTGGTGCCAGAGGCAATGCGTGTGGTTTCCGTTTGGCATCATTAAATCGATTGGCTGATACAAAATCGAGCTCAGCAAAGGGCACAACATTATTACATTATTTGGTTGAAGTAGTAGAAAAGAAATTCAAAGATCTACTGAAATTGGACGAAGATATTCCACATGTACGTCAAGCGGCCAAAGTGTCATTGGCTGAAATGGACAAAGATATATCTCTGCTGCGAAATGGTTTGGTCGATGTTGGTCGTGAAATTGAGTTTAATCGCAGTGTAGGAACGCCACCAGCCGGTGATCGTTTCTTACCGGTTATGCGTGAATTCCATGCTCAAGCATCGGTACGTTTTGCCGAACTCGAAGACATGTTCCAGGATATGAAAACACGATTTGATCGGGCTGTACGTTTATTCGGTGAAGATGGTTCGGTCATTCAGCCCGATGAATTTTTCGGCATTTTCGATTCATTCCTGACATCGTTTACGGAAGCTCGTCACGATAACGAGAACTTCAAAAAACGTCAAGAAGAAGAGGAGAAGCGAGCTAAACAAGAGGCTGAGGTAAGAGTCGAATTAAAAAAAAAATTATTTAAAGAGTATATGTTAAATTTAATTTTTTATTTTTTTTCGCAGCTCAAAAAACGTACTATTGAGCGTAAAAATAAAGAAGGTCTTCTGTCTTCGGTTGCAAAGAATTTGGGCTTTAAGAAAGGCGATTCGAAAACAGCCGTCGACAATAAAGGCGAGTTCGATGATTTGATTTCAGCACTTCGAACAGGTGACGTGTTTGGTGAGGATATGGCAAAATTTAAGCGATCACGCAAGACTCGCATGGGCAATTCGAAAGATGCTAGCGGAAGTAATGCTAATACATCACCACCACGTCATTCGTCTTCGCATCGCGAAGAGAGTCGAGAACGAACAGTGATCAACATAAGACACAACTAAATGAAACCATGTATGGTGGCCGCATTTAGAGAAGTCATGAACTCAAGAACAGTTACCAAGCCAAAAGAAGGCGTACAGTAGAAATGTCCGTTTGCAATAATTTATACATAGAACAAGAAGCATTAATATATATATATTTAATAAAATAGATGGTTTTGTTACATGGAACAATTTGAATGCATATTTGCACGTCAATGTTATTGACATGGTCAAACGACTGAATATTAGATGTCTAGAAAAGCTATATAAATCGTAGTCTTAACGAAACAAAAAAAAATCAAAATTTGATGAGCAAAAAGAAGCATTTACATATTGAATCTAGTATTGTACGATTAATAGTAATTGTAAATTTTGAATTAATCCTCATTTTGCATGACCACTTTGAGTTGTTCATGAGTCAGTTTAGTCTTATTTTATTGTAATAATTTGTTTAATCAACACACATTTTATTTAATCAAGCACATTACTATTTAATAACGAAAGCAAGCTAGAAAAAAAATCTCAAACGAACCAAGGTTTTTTTTCTCAATATTCTGTATTTAATTTAAATGTTGTATATATATATTATAATTTCCTTTCGGTAATATCACAATAATAAAATAAATTTCTTTCGTTTCGATTAATGCGATGTTTATATTTATAACGCACATTCGTTCGATGTATTTCTCTTTTTTTTTTGAATGAAAAGCTAAATTTGTACAACAAAAAAACTGGCAACGATGAAATATGAAATTTTACACCGTAAAGAGTCTCGTTCACATATAGCGTTTTGATAAGCAAATCAAGTCGTGTGCATTCGAAAATATCGTTCTTTCGTTTCGGATACGTTTTGCGGATAAAACTTTAGAATCGTTTTTGCTCGAATCTTTTTTTTTTTTCAAAATGATTGTCTTTTTTTTTAGCTTGATAGCAATAAATTGTAATTAGTCTAAATTCAAGTGAACTACCAAGAAAAAAAATGTGAGATAACGTACTTTCAAAAGAACTATTGGAAGTATAAATATATAATGTCGCATTCGTATCTAACTTCACATCAATTATATGTACCATTGTTTTGACATTGACAGCTATTGTATCTTAAAGAGCGTCAAAAAATCTATTAAAAACCATCTGTCACAATGAACACAAGTTTACACACAAATTTTTTTTATTACGGTGAAAATGTCGACATTCGTGGTATCAAAAGATCATTTGCGGGAAGTGTTAATTTACTTTTTCCATTTGAAGAAAAACGCATCTGAAGCACATCGTTTACTCACTGAAGCTTATCCTGACTATGCTATAGACTTAAGAATGTGTCAGCGTTGGTTTGCACGCTTCAGAAATGGTGATTTTAATGTCGAAGACAAGGAGCGTGCCGGAAGAGAAAAAAAGTTCGAAGATGAAGAATTGGAGGCATTACTCGATGAAGATCCGTGTCAAACTCAAGAAGAACTTGCAAAATCATTGGGAGTCACTCAAGCAGCCATTTCACAACGTTTGAAAGCAGCAGGATTCATTCAAAAGCATGGAAATTGGGTACCACATGTACTGAAGCCAAGAGACGTGGAAAGACGATATTTCACCTGCGAACAGCTGCTTCAAAGACAGAAAAGAAAAGGATTTTTGCATCGTATTGTCACTGGTGATGAAAAGTGGATTCACTACGATAACCCAAAGCAAAAAAAAGCATATGTGAAGCGCGGCCAACCAGCACCATCGACATCAAAGCAAGATATCCACGGATTTAAGGTAATGCTGTGTATTTGGTGGGATCAACGAGGTGTGGTGTACTATGATCTGCTGAAACCGAATGAAACCATTGATGGGCCACGCTACCAGAATATGAGCAAAGACACGACAAAGTTATTCTTCAACATGACAATGCTCGGCCACATGTTGCAAATGTCGTGAAGACATACTTGGAAACACTTCGATGGGATGTGCTACCTCACCCGTCGTATAGCCCAGACATTGCTCCTTCTGATTATCACTTGTTTCGATCGATGCAGGACAACCTGGCTGATACACGATTTACTTCTTCTGAAGAAGTCAAAAATTGGGTCGATTCATTCATCGCATCAAAAGATGAACAGTTCTTCCGACACGGAATCCGTATGCTACCAGAAAGATGGGAAAAAATAGTGGCTAGTGATGGGCAATACTTTGAATAACACTATTGTACAACCTTTTTCTCAATAAACGTTCAAATTTTGAAAAAAATGCGACATTATATATTTATACTTCCAATATTTATGTCGTAGGAAAAGTTTACGTTTCTTATGTCGTTGTTTTCGTCGACACTATCATTTGATTAATAATAATACT